GTACTTCTACTACTAAATATTAGACATAATGCAAAAGTCACTTATTTGATATAAAGTTAGCAAATGTATATATTTTATGCTACCTAGCCTGCACAGCACCAGTGGCTCAAGTCAAGAGCACTCATCACATATTGCTAATCATTTCAGCAAACTTTCAAATCCACTCGACTACATTTTAGACATAATCAAATCAATAAAGAGTAACTTGTCTTAGACCATTTACAGGTAATATTTTGTGTATTGTGAATCGAGTACAATATACAGTCTAAAGGTGCGTCACGTTTACCAAAGCGTGACGAAATCCATTAATTTATATCGGAAATTTCGTGTGAAAGTGGAAAAAAATGATGCCGATTTTGAATCGGGTTTTCCACACAAATTCGCACCGTTGATCAACATAAAGCTGCTTGGTTTAGTCGAGCTTCAACTAACATTACACTATTGACAATGGACGTTTTTTTTGGCCGCAAAATCTCGTCGTAAGCTAACTTTTAAGCCAGTATTAAAATAACAATAGCAGAAATTATTGTTTTTGTAAAAAAACATAAGTTACCTACAACCAATCCTTAAAGGGATACTTCACCTCTGGAAAGATGAATGTGTATTTATGTAGAAGAAATGTGAAATTATTTTTGAATTTGGAGCTTTCTAGACTGAGAAAAGCCAGAAAATGTATTTTTGGCTTATGTGGATGAAAGACAACAACTCCCAGAATGCACTTGCTTCGCTGCCCTAGGAGGCCACGCCTACCGGTAACAGAGCGCAGTAGTTAAACAACAAGTCTAGGCTACTAGTGAGTCTCCGTGACGAGTCTGCCCGAAAATGTGTTTCGAGATCGCCCAAAATGTCTGGGATTCGGCTTTTGCATTCTACAGTCGCCATTCATCATTTTCTTTATTTAACCAGGAAAGTCCCATTGAGGTTAAAAACCTCTTTTTCAAGGGAGTCCTGGCCAAGAGGCAGCAAAAACACAATCAATTACATTTATAAAGGTTATACAACACAAATAATTAAAAACATTTACAATTTAAACAGGTCATTTCAGGTTCTCTCAATCTGGACTTAAAAGCATTAAAGGAAATAAGTTCAGATAATTTCAAGTCTTTTTGCAAAAAATTCCATGCAGAAGGAGCCCTTTTCCCAGTTCTGTACGGGCAAATGGAACAAAGAGCAGCAAGTGATCATTTGATCGCAATGAATAAGAACCAACACTTCTCCATGTGATTAAACTACTGATGTAGGATGGCAACAGACCAAGCATGGCCTTATAGATAAAAATATGCCAATGCCCTGATCTCCTGTTGGACAACGATGGCCATACCACTCTGGAATATAATTCACAATGATGGGTCAAATTTTTACAATTCGTAATAAATCTCAGAGACGCATGATAAACAGTGTCAATCTTATGCAGACATTGTGCTGAAGCGGTCCTATACACCAGGTAGCCATAATCTAAGACAGATAAAAATGTTGCAGTGACTAGCTGCTTTTTTGCTTTAAAAGAAAAACAACATTTATTTCGAAAGAAAAAAGACAGCTTAAGTTTGAGTTTCTTCACAAGGTTATCTATATGAGGTTTAAAAGTGAGAGCATCATCAAGCCAAATGGCAAGGTACTTATAAGAATGAACCACCTCTATGACACTTCCAGTCAAAGTGAACACAGAAGGAGGAACTTGAGAAACCTTCTTAGTATTACTAAACAGCATCACAGTTTGCTCTTATCAGCATTGAGAACCAGTTTAAGCTGCATAAGCGTGTGTTGAACCACATCAAAAGCTTTCTGCAAAGACTCAACCGCTTTAGCTGGGGACGATCCAAAACAATAAATAATCGTGTCATCAGCATAGAAATGCATATTAGCATGCGACACATTGTGGCCCAGTTCATTTATATACATAATAAACAAGAGAGGACCCAATATTGAGCCTTGTGGCACCCCCTTGTGGACCTTCACTAATGCAGAACATAGACCATCACATTTAATACACTGAGTCCTGTCGCTCAGATAATTCATGAACCAGGAAACTGCACAATCAGACAATCCCAGACAAAGAAGCCTATGCTTTAAAACAGCATGGTCCACTGTGTCAAAAGCTTTCGACAGATCAAGAAAAAGTGATGCACAGAATTACTTTCTATCAAGGGCGACAAGTATGTCATTAATTACTTTTGTAACAGCAGTGATGGTACTGTGCTTTTTCCTGAAACCTGATTGCAGTTTATAAAGAAGTTCATTTGAGTATATTCCCGCTTGAGTATATTCCAGTAAATCATGTTTACTGTGGCGAGCAGGACGAGTGAGGGCCGCGGGAGAACGGCGCGAGGCCGGTGGCGTGATTACCGATGAGCGACACCTGTGAGACGCACCGGTCTCGTATCTCTCACGGAGGAGCGGGATTTTCTTAGCAATGTTAAAACGCACATCAACCGATCACTTGTTTAGCGTTCATGTAAACACTACATTCAGATTCACCAATCGGAATGAATTCAGTTAGATTGAAACAAAAGGTGTGCATGTAAACAATGAATGGCGACAGCAGAAAGCAAAAGCTGAATCCCGGACATCGACGGCCGGAAATGTCCGGGAAAAATAGGATGGTAACCCCTACTACTCAGCTTTCTCCACAGAACAAGAGCCTGCTAGCTTAGCTTAGCTTCCAAAAAGATGGCCGACACTATGTACATTCTGTGAGTGAGATCCCAGCCTCTATGGGCGGGTTGAGAACATGCGGGACAGCCCCTACTACTGGCTGTAGTCTTTAGCCTCTGGCCAAAAAATCCTCCGATGACGCAAAATGACGATTTTTGCGTCATCGGAGGATTTTTTCCAGACAAAAAATACACAAATTTCTCGTCTCAGGGGGATATGAGGGTGGAAAGCACAGTAATTCGAAAATACTACAGGTTTTCTACTAATACAAAGCTTAATGCTAAATCCTGAAGTATCCCTTTAAAAAACAGAGTGAAATGATAGGTGAACAATACTGATGTAGAAGCACCTAACCCTGGTTGTAAGACTAAACTTGACATAAACTGTAAACTTGTCCCTCATATCTGATTGGTTGATTGGAATCTTGTTCCAGGATCAACAAAGATGTTGATCCAGGAACATGTTGTGAGATCACGTCCACCATACAACATCAGTGCCTGACCTCATTGATGCTTGTGCGAGACCAAATCCCTGCATCCGTGTTTCAGCATCCATTGTGGAAAACCTGGAATCTGTTAAAGCAGAAAAGAAAGAACAAACATTTTTTTGGTTCTGTGCTGCATGGTTTCATCGAGGAAATCCTTTATTTTTCTTACCAATGAGAGCTGCTATATATATACTCTGATTAGATTTTATTTCAAATCTTTCTTCCAATTTGTGTGCACATTATTACTATTATATAATTTTTGCACATTTGTTCCTGAGAGTGTACTGTATATTTGAAAGGGGAAATTTGGAAATGACACCCTCCAGCTCAACAGACTGGGTTTCACAGGCAATGTGCAAATATATGAACTGTGTGAGTGAGAAGAACATTGTCTCGTGTCAGTCATAGCTGCGTTTGTGTCCCATGAATCATGCTTGCAGCTTAAAATGACACTTACACTTACTCAGGGTCAGAATGGCTGTTTTTAGAAGAGTGTGATCCTAGATATTTCTTAGAAAAACTAAAAAAAAGGCCAACTGTTAATCTAAAGTGTAATACTTGCTCACCATTGCATCCACTTGGAAAATCCACCATTGTGCAGATGTATTTTTCAAATTAGCAACAATTTATGCAGAAAATATGTATTTTTCACTTCTAACATCAAAGGAGGAGGCAATTCATGACATTTCACAACACCTACAGAGCTTGTGTATTTGTGCTTTCAGCCTAAGTGGTATGTATTATTCTCTGTGGAATCATTACTCACTTGTAAATTGTTTTGCATTAATGTTCCTGCAAAATGAATGGACATGAATGTAAGTGCTTAAGGGACCATCTAAAGGGCATCATGTCTACAGGAATCAAGGTTAGGTTCACATTTTAATTATTTGTTTGACGGCTACAAAGAAACAACATGTACTGTGTTTATGATTGCATTCGCATACAACTGAACTAATGGAAATGAATGACGGCTGCAATCTTAAACTGGTCTATACTGCCCTCTCTCGGCCATAGAAATCAATTACATGGTGAGAACAATCTACAATATTTACTATAATAAAAGAATATCGGTGTTAGTAGTGGGCCTATTTATATCCCCTTATAGAGTTAATATTTTGAATTTGCTTTTATTAAAATATTTTAATTTTAGGTAGGCTAAGTAGCCTAATTTTATGTGTTTTTGACATTTTTATTAAGCCTATAGTTTTTTCCTGTTTTAGCTTAGGCCTACTTCAACAGGAAAGTATTTCAGTTGGATTTTTAAAATAATTTTAGTTTTTTTTATTTAATATTAGCCTAATATTTTATTTCAATGAACTAAAACGATTTTTTATAGTAGTTTTAGTTAACAATAACAACAGTGGCTAACAAAACACCAAACGTTCCCCTCAGCAAAAACTGATTAAGAAATAATTAGGCTACATCAAGGCCATGTGTCGGGATTTTAAGATTTACTGTATGTTTTTATTTAGAATGATTTGGGAACATTAAAAAAAATACATTAGATTTGAATAGGCCTACATTTATAAATCCTGCCTTCGGCTCACAAACCTGTGAGTGACGTTTAGCGACATAAAAGTAGCAAAAACATGATATAGCTACATTAATATTATTTAACCTACATTTCATATTGTCACCCAATGTTTCTTTCCTAAGCATGTCCTTAGCATCCAGAACTTTCCGGGTGATTTTGCTAGTTTTTCCAGTCAGATATCACAGTCTTGATTTCACCTCAGCTGAAAGTCCTCAAAAAAATAAAAAATAAAAATAGGACTCCCTGCAATATTGACCTTCATTATTGTGCTATTTTGAGGGCTTGCGAACAAAAAAAGACGGCTTAACACTCCAAAGGCATTCTCGTCTATGAGGTAAGACTGTAAAGTTGTTGTAAACTGTCGATTTCAAGCGGTGAAAAGCCAGAAAGCTCTTGACGCATCAATTGATTGATGTCAATGGGGAGCACCTGCGGTTCAACAGTCGACTGTCAGTTTTAGTCATTTTATAGATAATATTTTACATGAAAACATTAATGATCACAGGTGAAATTGTGTAAACATCAAAATCACATTATCTATCTTGATTTGTGATGAAATGTCGCAGCTGGGATCGGCTGTGCCCTCATCAAACTTACCCGAGGGCCTCCCGGTGTCCAGTTTGGCCCTGCTGATCCTGGTGCTCATTCCCTGCGTCCTTTTACTCCTGCTTCTCAACTGCCTGTTCGTGGGATACAAGCTGTTCCGCATGACCCGGAGGAAGAGAGACCGATGCGGGTCGGAAACCTCGCTCATGCACTCCTCATATTCCACCCGCCAGAGAATCACCCGCTTCTCTGATGAGCCTCTGTTCGCTCCAAACAGAAAGACTAACTATGTTTCGGTCTCGGAACCGATGCTGGCGCCACCCATCACCTCATCCCTGACCTCCTCGGCGGAGAGAAGGGCCACCGGGCAGCGCGCCAGGTTTCTACGCCCGGACGGGGCCACTTACGCCGGGTCCGGGTCACTGCGCGTGCCGAACTGGAGGAAGAGCGCACCGGTTCTGCTGCTGTCCAGTGATTCGGACACGGAGCGAGTCAACACGGTCCCACCGAACTCACCAGCACTTAATGTGACTCCAAATGGGGTAGGGTCAAAAACACGAGTATGTCCAAAAAATACTAGTTCTGGATCCTGATAGGCCTACATTATAAAATTGAATAATAATTTGAGTATTAAGGAAATATGTCAATGTTTACTTTATGGTAGTTATGGGTCTATATTGAATATTAATTTGAGTATTGGGATGTCAGTGTTGATGGTGATTATGGGCCTATTGAATATTAATTTGAGTATTAAGGAAGATGTCAATGTTTAGTGGTTATGGGCCTATTGAATATCAAGATGTCAATGTTTATGGTGGTTATGGGCCTATTGAATATTAATTTGAGTATTAAGATTTCAATGTTTATGTTGGTTATGGGCCTAATGGATATTAATTTGAGAATTAAGGAAAGATGTCCATGTTTATGGTTATGGGCCTATTGAATATTAATTTGAGTATAAGGAAAGATGTCAATGTTTATGGTGGTTATGGGCCACCATTAATAACATGGTCCTTTGGTAATTAAAACTATGGTAATTTTGATTGCCAATTTCATATAGTGTGTGTTACGAAAATTAACCATGGTTTTACTACAAAAAACCCCCAAACATGATTATTGTAGTTGAACCAACAAATTAACCATGGTATATGTAGTAAAACTGCCAAAATAACTATGGTTACTACACTTTTACTATAGTAAAATCATGGTTAATTTTCCTAATGGCACTACAATTTAAACACCTCACTATACTATTGGTAGAAACATAGTAGCCTATTACTATAGTCTCATTTGGTACCGTTTTTTGCTCCCAGTGAAATATGTTTGATCCTACCATGCCACTGTTCGTCCGACTGTTTTTACTGCATTTTATGGTTACAGTTCACAATCCGGATGACTTCCATGCGTAGAAGCAGCACTATGGACCTGGAGAATGCTTCTCTGGATAAGATCCATGTGGAGTGCGAGTCCGCCAGCATCATCCCGCCGGAGATCTCCTGTTATGTGGCGTCATCAAGCCCCTCGGCGGGGGGTTCTGGACTGGACAGTGACTTCGGAGCCAGTGCAGGCCAGTTTTGTGATCTCATGCATTCAAAAGTTCTTTAAGATTATATACAGGTGAAACTCGAAAAATTAGAATATTGTGCGAAAGTTAATTTATTTCAGTAATTCAACTTAAAAGGTGAAACTAATATATTATATAGACTCATTACATGCAAAGTGAGATATTTCAAGCCTTTATTTGTTATAATTTTGATGATTACAGATATGAAAACCTTTTCACAATATTCAAATTTTGAATTTGGGGTTTTCATAAGCTGTAAGCCATAATCATTAAAATTATAACAAATAAAGGCTTGAAATATCTCACTTTGCATGTAATGAGTCTATATAATATATTAGTTTCACCCTTTAAGTTGAATTACTGAAATAAATGAACTTTTGCACGATATTCTAATTTTTCGAGTTTCACCTTTAAATGCTCAGCACTACTGTTCAAAAGTTCAGAATAATTACCATTTTTAATGTTTTTGAAAGAAGTCTCATATTGCTCACCAGGGTGCAATTGTTTTATCAAAAATACAGTAGTAATGTGAAATATTATTACAATTTAAAACAACTGTTTTCTATTTCAGTATATTTTCAAATGTAATTTATTCCTGTGAAAGATGGTTTTTTTTTTAAGAAGCCATGACAGAAATCATTGTAATATCCTAATTTGGTTTAGAAAAAAATTCCAAAACATAATTATTCCGATCTTTTGACAGACCAGTAGTGTATATTTGGAGTTTGTTCATTCTTTGAATTCTCCTAATTGTTCATTTAGGTGTATCTCTGCGGATCCTTTCTATGGACAGTGATGGTTTCCCGGGCTCAGTCTGGGCATCCGCTCTGGAGTGGGATTACTACGACCCAAGTTACGTCACTCAGAACCACATCCCGAAACACAGACCCCACGCACCTCCCATCACCACCAAACAGTACTGGGTCTAGAGCCATTCAGCCACTCTCATGCTAGAACTTCAGTTGAGCGGAGTCTAGATTTATTCTGTCTGGGTTTAGTGCATTTAATGTTCACTTGCTGTTTTAACTGCAACACATCACATGTTGTCAAAGCACACAATCCAAGAAAAAAAAAGTTCACGATCACAGCTTCTTTCTGCAGCAACTCCAAACAGGTTTGTTCCGTTCACAAAAATGCATTTATGGATTCACTTCCCCATTGTTCTCACTTTAGATCATTGACACATTTGTTTTACACGCTTTAGATTTCTCACCGTTTTTGTTATTTTTATATGTTTCCCACATGATTCTCAACATGGAGTTACTGAGGATTTCAGAAGACTTTTCACAATTTTGACACCCTACACATTCTTGTATCAAAGAAAAAAGTATTTAGATTATGCCTGATTTGAATAAAAGTTTTAAAATACAGGGTCTTATTTTATTGCTGTTGACCCAACCCCAAGAAAATGTACATATTAAAAATGACTTTTCTAGCGAGATAAGTTTGCATTAGAATTTTATACTGCAACACAGCTGATCGGAGTTTAAAATCTCAACTCTGGTTAAAGCTTCCATGAAAGCTGAAAAACTTAGAAAAGACCAAATAATTTCACTATGGTATTTTTTTTTCCAATTATAGCATAATTCAATAAAGCATATATATTCAATTAAGCATTTGGTATGTATTGATATTAATTCTGTTTTCTCAGACAGTTTGAGAATGAATAAGGCATTCAGACAGACATTTCAAACATCACTTTTTATTGGAAACACAGTTTACGAGGAGCTGGACGCAGCCACGGCTGCCCGACGGGGCTTGGGCACGGTTCCCTCACGGAATCCATTTCTGAAATGCACAGAAAACAGACTTCAGTTAGCATTACAGCACACAGATCATGTAAGAAAACTATTTAAATGGCCTTAGGGATTTTTCACGAGCTCATAACATGATCAATAGATCTGATATATGCAATAAAATCCCCATCCAACAAGAGTTTCAAAAATCCACTAATTTGAGGAATAAAAACAGATTACTGAAAACAGAACCTAACAGAAGTCCATCTATGAGTGCATGGGTCCGGCTTACCTCAGTACAAAATTATTATCACTGGACAGTCATTAGTTCAGACATTTATGTTTGGACATCATTGGTAAGCCAACTAATCTAACCGGACAACATGCACTCGAGTTTTGGACAAGTATCAGTGCAGAATCAACAGGAAGATCTCTTAACTACAATTAAATACCACAGCATCAACCTCAACCCTGCTGAGACCTCTCAGTGTGTCAGTCATGTGCAAAAGAAAAGTGCATAATATATAAAAAGGCCTAAATAAAAATATAAAAGGATTGTATATATATATATATATATATATATATATATATATATATATATATATATATATATATATATATATATATATATATATATATATATATAAAAAACTAATTGTGAAGTAAAAAAAATAAATTGAAAATGCTTCAAGGAAACTCTGAACTAGAAAAAAAAAAAAAAAAATTCATGCAAATCTAATATACTCTGGGTGTTTACACAACAACGATGTACTAAAAAGAGATGGAAATGTTGTCAAAACGGTCCCGTTTACACGGATCTGTGAAAATGACTAAAAAGGCTGTATCAAGCATGCCAGGCCAGTAGTTAATGATGTCACTGTTAAGAAACACCCCATGAACACGTAAAGCATGCGCAGGCCGTCACCATTTTCACAAACTCACATTTTTGTTGTTCACATGGTGACGATAAAGGCATTGTTTTCAAAAGCTTGCGTTTTCAGCCCCCAAGACACAGTTGTCGTGTAAATGAACGGCCAAAAGGCATAAAAAGTTGTGTTTTCAGTTGAAAACGGTGTCGTGTAAACACACCCTTAGAAGTATGAAGATCTGAATGCACATTTACTCACCTGAACCTGCGGAAAACAACCTTCATGTGCCTCATGCGGCCAGTTCCTGTGGTGCTGCGTCTCTTGGCCTTAGTGCTCCAGTTGTCTACAAACAAAAGCAATCATTACACTTCACACACATGAAAACATAAAAATGCATTTGACCAGATGAGCACCTGTGTTCTGTTCATCAACATCTCAAGCTTACCTCAGTTCAAAACACTGTTATCACTGGACAGTCAATTGTTCAGACATTTGTTTTTTTTGGTCATCACTGGTAAGTTAATACACCAGACAGAACACAGCTGTTTTTGCAGTTTCCCTATTATTACTTAATTTTTAATGTTACTTTAAAGTGCCCCTTTTATGCCATTTTAAAGGTTGAATGTCTCCTACAATAGGTTTACATGCATCAAAGGACAAAAAAAAACATACATTTCAACATATAATTTATCAAAAAGTCAGAAAACGGTTCATTTGAAAATCCAGTCTCTAAACGCCTCTTTCCACGAGCCTACTCTGATTGGTCAGACAGCTCAGTCTGTTGTGATTGGTCGAACGCTTACATGTCTGAGTCCTCATCTTTTGAAGTGCATCAAAGTGGATTCGCAGAGCTGAAAACAGCATCTTCTCAACATGTCGACAACAAACCAAACTCTTCCAGTCTCGGCTACAACTACAGTGTTTGAGGGTCAAAGTAGACGTTGTTCACAGGCAGCCAATGAAGACCTTAGACTGGCATTATGCAAACTTGTTTTGTAAATAGTAGGGGTGTAACGATACACAAACCTGACGGTTCGGTTCGTCCCACGGTTTTGAGGTCTCGGTTCGGTTCGGTTCATTTCGGTGGGGGGGTTAGAAACCTAAAATTGCTTTTATTATTTATTAAACAGTGCTTTAATGAACAAATTGTGTCCTTGTCTTTAAATTAATTCAATTACAAGTAAACGTTTCTCAAGGATAACAAAATTATCTGCTAATGCTGTAAACTACAGCCCTTACTTGCACATTACTATAACATTAAAGCTTAACAGAGCCTAGACTTTTAACCTAAATTATATAATAATAATCAACACTCAAATAACAAATTGTATGAAAACATGTAAACTGCACATAAGGCAATTTTTGCATTAACATGTTTTTACTCTAATTTGTTATTGTCATATAATAATTTACACAGTTGCTGTTATTTTCATGACAACTATTTTAAACATACATTAAATAATCAAGATATCATAAACAGGTTAAGTAAAATATAATATATAGGCTAATATATAGCATTTATTTAGTGAAAGAGTTAGCAAACCAGCAAGCTGTGGACACTGAATGACTTGCCTGAGGTAAATATAAAGCTATGTGAAAAACTAAGCGTTTTATTGACGTATTTCCGCTGTTGAAACACTGATTGAGTGTTTACACGAGTTATGAGTATACTTTCAGTAAGTATACTGTATCTTTCAACATACCTTCGGGTGTCCATTCATGTTTTTTCTGTAACTGAGGAAGAGATGATCGCGCTCCGCGCTGCCGCATGCATACAGTGATATCTGTCACGCCACATCTAAGAGCGCCAAAACGGCATTTATTGTTTGCATTTCGTGATCAAATAGACATAATTTGAAAGATTACACCTTGCTTATTATCAAAAGTAATAAAACACTGAGCTTATTGCGATTATATGTAGTTAATGGTGGTTAGGCAACAGCCCTGTATTCGTTGTGTACACATAACACATGAGGTGCAATGAGCCGGGGCTGGGCGGGGCATGTTCGGTTCGCCATGAGAGTACCGCGATACGTATCGTGGGTGGTGTATCGCGGTTTTTCGGTTCGGTTCAAATATAGTTACACCCCTAGTAAATAGGAAGTGAGAAAGAACATTAGCAGCTCAGAATCAATTCTATCTTTAAGGAGACAACTATGTCGCGCGCTTTGATCTTTAAAATTTAAGACATTTTACATTCACAAACAGCTATATTACTGCACGAAAGGCAATATTCGAAAAAGCATAATTGGGGCACTTTAAATGTTACCAATGCGATAAAGCTGCTTGAACCTTTAACTGTGCAAAGTCAGCCCAAACCTTTGAACTGTGAACTTACACTTTCTCTTGCGCTTGGCAGGGTAGCCACACTTCCCGCAGGTGGACTTCTGCAGGTGATACGCCTTGGATCCACAGCGGCGGCACAGAGTGTGCGTCTTATTACGACGCTTACCGAAAGATGACGTACCCTTCGTCTGGAAAACAAAAGAAATGTATAATTCACATTGCTTAAATGGTCTCATTCATACATAAGGTTGCCTACATAGACAGCATTCATCAATATGCAGCTTGATTGGCTTTAACACTACAATGTCTATTCTGAGACTATAGTGCACAAAAATGCTGTTTGTTTATGTAGTCAGCTCACTAAATTGTAATTCATAAACATGTGGTTTAATAAAGCAGCTCGCTTGGTTGTTGCCCATAATGATATGAAGGAAGCTAAATCAGTTGAGACTATGATACCCAACAATTATGTATAGGAAGAAAGAATGGTTCGCTAACGTACTATTTAATGATATAAGCGAACCATGGACTATGATTTCCAATAAACTGTTTAGGGAAGGAAACACACTAGGCTGCGAGACTATTATGCACAAAAATGCTGTCTAGAATAGCAGCTTAAAAGGCTATAAAAAATACAAATAAACAAGTCTGCACAGGCCAACCATATTGTAAACTCACACACACCACTACGATAACCATAAAACTAATGTTAGTTTCTAAAGCTCGTTCCTTTACTGTCTAATTTAGACCGTTATAGTCTCAAATATATTAAAACTACGTACAATTAAACGATTTAAATGAATACTGGAGATCGTTTTAAAGCTAACCGGTTTATTTTCACGAGTTCGTTAAAACTGTAGGGAATGCTAAGCGTCATGCTAACCGAAAAAATAAAATCATCTATAACCTCTCATTATAGAGGAATCACAAACATAATAGATGATACTGAGTCTTGAATACATATGCTTGTGGTATTATTAATGTTACAGTGATTTAAAACAAACCACGAATCAGATGTTTGAGGATTTTGAAGGCAAG